TGTGTGTGTGTGTGTGTGTGCGTGCGTGCGTGTGAACACATTTGCCATCAATGTACTCACTTGAGTCTCAGTTTCCTTTCCAGCAGTTCTTTGAATTTGTGCGCCCCGCCACCCGTGGCCTTGATGACTTTCGTGTCGGTGTTGACCAGGTGGTCTTTGATAAAGTCCAAGCAAGTTTCGATGTAGGCATTCTCAAATTTGATGAAGTGCAAGCGCGCCGTCACCTCCTCTTGAACCGAAATCTCGTACAGTTTGTCGCCGGCTGCCTCCTGGGAGACAAACAAACGCAAACGTGAGCATCGGTATTCATAAAGCCTTGTTCTGTTCAGAACGGGATCATGTTGTTATTGCAACTATGTTATTGTAGAAAGCATGTGGAAATGAGAAACTCCTTGTATTGGATAAATAAAGTTGAAGCAGTGGAAGTTTGGGTCCACATCCAATGTATTGGGTTTTTCAAAGAACTATTTCAAAGTAGAAATCGTTCCACGGTCCACTTTTGTGGTTAACTGTTCAGACAAATCTTTAAGCAGCATTTTAACATACTGGGTACATAACTTGGTTAAATGATTCAAACAATGACCTGCCGTGTATACAGCAGTAATCGTACATTTTAGACACTATTAAATACATTACCAGGACTTTGTGGAATCCACAACAACAACGAAGTCAACTCTGGAGGCAAAAACGGGGTCAACGCGAATAAAGTTGAACGGGGGGGGGAAGAAAAACAATAATTGCCTTGGCAGAGTGGTCGAAGGAGCGAACTTTGGCCACTTTGTGCTGAACAGTTGAATAGTAGGCGAGTTTGGTGAGCGATCCACCTGTAAAGAAGAAGTCAAAAGCAGAGATTCATGCAATTCGCTGAAGAATGTGCTCAACTAAACGGAATCGGAAACATAAAACATCCCAGCTACTAGCTTCAGCTGCTAACCTCCGCGCTCGTCGAGGTTGCTTACAGTGCTTGACAAATTCGGCGTGTTTGTGATTAGCCTCAAAAGAAGATTCTGAACGTCAACTCAGGAGACGGTTCCGACTAAGGCAGCCTGTTGTCACGTTGACTTACACTTTTGCCCTCGGTCCATGAACGCAACATCATTTTCTGTTTTGTTTCTGTTTTGAGTCGAATAGTGTTAAGGTGAAAGGAAACGTCCATATTTGCAGGTACCTATGTCTATGGCGAAGCGCTTGGCGTTCTCCAAATTGCGGAATATTTCGTCTGGAGGTAAAATGATGCTTTTATCCATGGTGTGGTGGCGGCTCGCGTCGCCGCTGTCAGCTTGGCTACATTCCGCCATAGTCGACGACGTGCTGACGAGTCACCAGGCGTGCGTCCGCTGGGCCAATCAGCGAGCACGTTTGGTTTGGTGGGCAGGGTCCAGTACACGCATTCTTCTCAAAATTTAAATTGATACCTAA